ATAAACCAAATGAAAATACTGAGCGCAGAGTTTTAAGCTCATACACATACATCGAATTTTCTGTACGTACACACACGGAAGCACACACACACACACGCACACACTTTCAAATATCCAAACATCGGCACAGGCGTATGTTTGTGTAGATATACATGTGTGTGTGTATATATATATATATATATGTGTGTGTGTGTATGCATATATATATATATATACATGTATGTATGCACACACGTCCGTTAACAGTGTCATGACGACCTATTTACCTACCTACCCTACTACCTACCTACCTACCTACCTACCTACCTACCTACCTCCCTACCCTACCCTACCCTACCCTACCCTACCCTGCCCTGCCCTGCCCTGCCCTACCTACCTACCTACCTACCTACCCACCCTACATTGTACCTACCTAGCTAGGCATGGACAAGGACAGACAAACGTATATATAGACAAAAACATACACACATGCATACACACATGTTCACATGCGGAAACATAGACACGGACATAGGAGGCACATACCAACACGAACGCAACTACAACCGAAAAGATAGCATTCAGGTGAGGTTCCCACTGCCCGTCGGACTGTCCAGCGAAGGTGACTTGATACGCAACTTGGAAAAGTCCAGTTCCTGGACTGCATGCTCTCTGGGGATCTCGGGCGAGTCGCGGGCTTCAATCATATCCTGTGGGAGGATGAACTGATAGTACTCTGGCATGCAGCAACCGGTCGCATGACAAGGAAAGCAGCCATGTGATCGGTTGGGATGGGCTTTCATGGTTTCTGAAATCTCGACAGGCCAGGGCCAATCACCCGGTTTCGTTCTGCCGGCGCATGCCCGAGGAGCTAAAGCTCCCATTTTTTGTTCACTGCCAATTATAAAATCGAAAATCCTGAAGCCACGCAGTCGACCTTGACTAAACAGGCTGCACCTGCGTTTTGGCCAAGATGTTGGTTGCTGCCCCGCCCTCCAGGCAAACGATGCCTCGTCGAGACCACCGTCTTCTGACTCCGCCTTCCAGTCCTGGGGAGCGCAAGGCATCACACCTAGCTTCTGGTGCAGGGCAAGGCTCACTAGGCGGAGAAGGACAAAATTCAACGATAAACCGAGCATCCTCTGCCCGCCAGTCTGGATCATCGATCCGCCGGCGCGGTTGGCTCCGTGGTACCTTGTCGCTTGAAGGGATGGGTTTCATTGACAGCCGTGCGGTTGGACTTCAAGTTCAACACCTTCGGTCGGAGTGTGCGTTCTCAAAAGTCTGATCAAACCCAAGCCGGCCTCGTTTCCGTCGATTCGGAAATGGTCCACCCTAAGAGAATCGAGTTCTCCACCGGCGTGCGTCAAGGTCTGCTGCAAGGTTTTGCCTGGGCAGTCGTGACCATATATAACATGTATGTATGTATGTATGTATGTATGTATGTATGTATATATGTATGTATGTATGTATGTGTATATATATATATATATGCGAATACATGCTGTATAGACATAGAAGCCGGAAGTTTGGAGAATATAATATCTGGAAGCTGAAGACTTGGTGCGCGCAAGAATAGAATCTGGACGCCTAGAGCCTTGCAACCTCTCACGTTCAGCACGATGAGGGCCTTCGTTGACGAGTATCGTCAGTCACTAAGACGAGCCTGCATGTGGCTGCTGATCTAACCTCCTTCATCCGGGAAAAAAAGCTTGTCTTTCGCAACACCATCGCGAAACTTTCGTGGAGGCATACTTACATACCATTACATACCTTTGCAAGTCTTAAGCCCTAATTGTGCCATTGTTGTAAGCCCGAAATGAAGTGCAAAGCTTCCTACAAGAGGTAGCTTTATGTCGCCCCAGGGCGTGTGAAGTCGCGACACTGCATGGCCGCCGGAATGCGGCAAGTTACACCAGGGCGTGTGATGTCACACCAAAAGCATAGCTGCACATCGCTTTCCCCGTGGCCACGCGCTTCCTAGCACATTCCTGGCACAGACGTCAACTGAGGAGTTCGCGTGCCACGCGCAGGCTTTCTTAGTAAATGATGCCCCGGAGCCCGGGAAAGTCTGCTAGGTTGGCAACGAATCACCATGTGCACGTGCTTTCAGACATGTAGCAAGTGCCCGCTCACACATCATTGGCATTATAAGGCACGAAGTCGTGAGGAAAACCAGCCGTTCCCCATGTAGATCAGAAGCACCCGCTCAAAACAAACAGCAGTAAAATCACAGCACTTCCAAACCAGCCGTTCCCCAACTGGACGCTCGATTTCCGAAGCACCTGCTTGAGACCATGAACGCAGCATACCAGCATGCATACATGCATGTATATGTGTATGTAGTATGTGTATGTATATATAGAGAGAGAGAGAGTGATAGTATACATATACATGTATGCATAGAAAAGCAGACGTACATGCGAAGGTAGCGTAAGGTGAAGCAGACAGAGATGGGGAGGCATCGCTTTCAGTTCTGGACACAAATCGAGACCTGGATAAAGGCACAAATACATATACTTGTGCAAGCAGCATGCATCTAAATATGTATATTACATACATAAAACACAGATACATGCGCACATGCATACATGCATAAATGCATAGCATACATGTGCATACATACATAGATACATACATACAAACATACATACTTACTTATTTACTTACTTATAAGCATACATGCAAACATACATACATACATACATACATACATACAGACAGACAGACAGACATACATACATACATACATACATACGTATGTATGTATATACGTATTATTATGTATACATGCATACGTACCTTTGAGATACGAGAGAGTATGTACTCCTGAAGTCGCTCCAGAGCTTTGTCAATCTGGCAGTGGACGTGGTAGCAGTAGCCGTAGCCGTATCATATCTTTGATGGAAGCAAAGTTTCTGGCCGTTAGAGCCACACTCCGCCGAAGGGCAGAAAGCATTAACTTCGGACCGGTCTGGATGCTCGGACATAATTTGGGCAGGGTGCAATGGAGGCGGTGCGCCTCCTTGAGGTCAAACGTGGCTTTCCTGGGCCGTCGAGGAATTCTCCGCTTATGCACTCCTTCGTGTTGAGGTCTTGGCGGGAGGATACCGCAGGCATTCGCCTGCTGTCTCGTCAATGAAACACGTTCACTATCTGGCAACACATGTTGCTGCCACACACTTTGATGAAAACTTTTGGCTCTCTACACTCGAAAAGCATATACAGTCATTGTTGGCATGCGAAGCAGCATGTTCACAAACCCCCAACCCTGCTTCGGCCCTGAGCTGCACCGGGCCCTGACATGCCATTGAACGCTGCCCAAGTACCCGGCAGCCTGACTTCTTGCACTGCCCCAACTGTGACTTCAGGGACAGTTGCTGCTTTGGCAGCAAAGCTACTGCAGCGAGGTTCACTGACAGTTGAGCAAGCCAGCTCCGAAACATTGCAGCACTATGACACTATGATGGCGGATGGGACTGCTGATACAAGGAGGAGATCTGAATCTGAGGCCGAGAATTTCCGAAGCAAAACTGCTGTAGTTTGGAGCCGGTGCGAGAAGTGAACCGCCTGAAGCCTCAAACTCCCGCGCCTTGCAGCATGAAGCCAAGTCGCTGCAGCTGCTCCCGCAATATCGCTTCCAACTTGCGACTGGCACTGTCGCAAACATGCCTTGCAAAGGCTCGAGGCTCGGAGATTGCGGGCAGAAAGGCATGGGGACCCTCCGCTGCTCCGAACACGGGTAGAGCGCCAGTCAGGATACTGGAGCCGATGGCCGGTAAACTCCGAGAAGGTCATGCCATCCATGTCGATACCCATGGCGAGGAGACCTGGAAGGCTTGCTGTTGTCGCTGCTCTTCACTCAGGCCTTTTAGGCCTCCTTTAGAAAGCCGCCTTAGGCCTCCAGATGCCTGGACTTCATTCTGGCACTCCGTGCAGGAAAGCTTCATGGTATGGAGATGTTCGCTAAAGGTCTGACCAGGCACATGACTCTGTGCCGAAGCATCTCGCGAAATGCGGTCTCTTTCAAACCAAACCAGGCAGAAGGATTTCTATTGTCAGCCCGAGTGATGGCCTTGTCTCTTGCTCAGAAAGCTGTGCAGGTCAAACACAACAGGGCGAGCAAGCCATTGCAGGACGCCCAGCAAATAAAACCCCTTACGCACCAGCCCCGCTCACGTTGAGTCATTAATGAATGTCGATGTGTGTTCTTGCTCACATCTCCTTCACGATGATGTTTGCCTAGGAAATGCAAGTGCCTGATTCGTTACAGCCCTTCCGGTAAAGAGCCGATCCTATCCCTTGAGTCTCGGGTGACATCGAAAAGCTCCGACAAAGGGACCCTAAACCCGCGAAGTCTACAGACCTGGCACTTCTCCGGCCTTTCCGAGACGCCGCAAGGCGGCAAGCGTCGCGCTACGAGGCTTTCGGGGTGCACTTGAGACCCTGAGCTGGGGGAGAGGATAACAAACCCTAGGGATCGGGCATCTGCCCCACAGGGATCCACACTCTCCACCTTCCGCACCCTGAGTCTGCAACAGACCTCTAAGACTCTAAGTAAAATGTCAAAGCTCTTACGGTATGACAGTTCGTACGCACCCGGCTGAGTTCGTACGAGTACTTGACAGTTGCGCTTCCCGGGCCCTGTAATGCCGACATTGCACATTCCATCATTCTGCCCACGCCTGTCTTGAGGCCCACATACAAGACACTTGATCATAGACACTTGGCTATCCAACCTGAAAACCCACCCGCTTGCCGACGTGGGAAGGGCCGACTGAGCCGTTGCAGCTGCGATTGGCAAGAAATGAATTTCAGAATCGACATGGAACGCGGTGCCGGCAGACGACAGAGACTTTCTGACTACAGAACAGTTTAGCTGACAAGTGGACTGCAAGCTACAGCCATCTCGCACATCTCGGCACAAGCAAACCAAGCAGAGGAAGCGAACACACTACCTGCCTTCTTATCAATCAGTAGCCATCGGAAGCGATATCAAAAAAAGACAGAGCCGGCTGCACCAACGCAGGAAACGCAGGACGGCTCGGAGAGGTACAGGTTCAGGTCCCCGTGGACTGAGTATCTCAGCCTGAGATGGGGCACTAGGCAGGGCCTGGGCAGCCTGGGGGGGCAAAAGGAGAATGGCTAGCGGCTAGAAGTCTTGGGCAAGCTTGGGATATTGGCTTTAACGTTTCCAACACACACACACACACACAGGCCGGTAAACATCCCCAGCTGGGCGTGGTCAACTGCAATGTGTACACATATCTTCAAGAAGACCTGGACAGCTTGAGGACAGCACTCCGGGCAAGTCAAATCTATGCCCGAGCGGTGGAGTAGTTCACACACCTGTACAGGTCAGTCCGTGAGTGAGCCGTGCATTTTGTTCCTGCAGCATCTAAACAACGCAGGCTATGCACTTCTTGCAGGAACTCCCTTTATGACACCAGATGTGAAGAGACGGGCACATGCTCCATGCACGACTTGTCGACATCATCAAAATCGGAGAACACAGAAGGCAACAAACTGAACAGTACTTCATGTGCTGAACTGAACTTCTCGTTCCCTTATCAGATTCACTTCAGGGCAGAAGTATTAGTAGTGGCTGCGCAGAGAACATGCACAGGCTGCCCCCCTTGGCCGCCTCGCCGAGAAGCTGGAACTCCGCGCAAAGGCTCCTGCATCAAAGCCGACCAGACAGCAGCAACCAAAGCAGGTACACCTCTACAAGCGGAGACGATTGACCCTTGAGAGTCTTGCAGCTCCTCATTTGTGTCTGGCAAAACCCACTCTGAATCCCTCCACGCAGGGCCAGCGATGCCCGCAACAAGTGCGCCGCGCGCCTGTCAACCCACTTGCTGATGGGCAGCTGCACGGCCTCTGGGCTCGGTGAAAAAACATCAAAACAAAAAATGTAGGAAGGCAAGCAAGCACCAAACAGAAGTAAGAGCGAAGTGGAAGCATTTGCAGCCAAACAACAAAAGACGATCCACAATGCAGGCTGCAGCAGCAGCAGCAACTGCAGCACAGCAGCAGTAGCAGCAGAAGATACTAGAGGCAGCAGTAGCAGATCAGAACAGCAGCAGTCCTGTCCAACCGTTCCCAACTTTCGGACAGGCGCTGGTTCGAAGCCTGAGGGCGAATGAAGCATGCATACGCAAGTATGGCAAGACACCGTGGTAGGTCTCGACACGATAGCTAGAAGAAAAGCAACGGCAACGGCAACCCAAGAAGTAGAAGGAATAATGCTAGTGGGAGTTGTAGTTTTGGCAGACAGACACGTCATGGCACTCGTGAACTTACCTCAGCAGCTATAGTGAGGAAAATAACAAGAATACGCTTGCCGGCAAGACGTGAAGGCATGGTCAGTACTGTAACATACGGACCACAGCAGCGATGTGATGTCCACATATTGAGCACTCCCAGCTTGAGGTTTCGGGCATACTGAAACCCCACATTGCAATCCATGGGCCAGGAGATCTAGAAAATGGACCCGGGCAAATGGCAAAAGGCGCAAACTCGTTTAACGACCGACAGCCTTGAAAATCCACCTGTAGCTGCAAACATGCGATGGTGGCTGGGGTTTCGACACAAAGCCACGGCCGGAATGTAAACCTCAAGGTTACTCACGTGAGTTTGAGTTTTGGGAAGATGTCGAGTTCATCTGTACCAAGTCCTAGTCTCCGCTGAGAGAAGTCGGAGCACTCTTCCGTGGAAGTGAGCTAAACGCCTCCAGCAACTGCTCCCGAAAGCTTGAAGCTTGACTGGTCCGAGTCTCAGGCTCTGGGTCGGCATGGAGGCCGTTCAGCTGGAACAGGCTTCCTACCACGAGAGTCAAAGTCAAAGCAGTGGAGAATTGCAGCAAGTGGCAGGGAAGAGTGAGACTCAGTAGCCATGCCATCGAAAAATGCAGCTCGGGAGGTTGGACGGTTGCGTATGCGGCCCTTTGTGATGGGCGCACACCGGGCCTTCCAAGAGGCTTTTCCCCGGCAGGAATGTGCTCGCAAAGGAGAACTCGGCCTCGGGGGGGACTTCGCAAGTCCAGCGACTGCCAATCGAACCTATTTGTGCACACTGGCCCTGTACCCTTCTCCTAAAGTTGCAAAAAGACTGGATACCCCTCGTCGTCTACTTACACGTCGTGGAGCTTGGGAGTTTCAATTTCTTGGGGATCAGACATGGGATACCAAAAATCATTGACGTGTTGCTGAGAATCCTCTAGGCTCCAGTCGCAGTCCCGACATAATTGGTTGCAGTACCAGTACTTTGCCTACTGACCTGCTGAACTTGATGCTGCTCAGGCACAAAGGCATAGATGCGACGATGCGCCGTCTGTGCCTTCGAAGATTGCCGAAAAATACACGAAAGAGCTGCTATCACAGGCATCACACAGTGACGCCAACCGAAAACAAGAAAAGCACGGGCAGCAACACCCTGCAATTATCTTAAAACGATTACGACTGTAGCACCGAAGATATAATGATGCAACATAGTAGCCTGCGGAAGAACAGCTGCACAGGGGGGCTCTGAATACAAGCAGAACAGCAGCATCTCAGCCATGATCGCGTCGAAGCTGATCAGAACCAAGCCAACAAACCTGTTGAACTCTGAAGACTAGATCTCTGAGACCCTGAACTCCCAAATGCGACTTTTCTGAAACCTTGAACTGCAACGCATAAGCACCTTCCAATCGGAGGAAACTGTGCCAACACCTGAATCCAAAAGCCCAGGCTTCACGGGTTCGTTGGCAGAGTTGGTCGGCTTGTGGGGTCGCCCTGGCTTCTTCAATTCGCTCTTGACCCAAGTCCCCCTTTATGCCTTCAAGCCTTGTAGATTTCGAAGCGCTGTCGACTTAAAGTTCTGTCAGGTTCCGAGTGCGCAAGTCATGGCAGTTGCAAACAGACAGACAGATAGCCAGATAGGGCGTAGGCAGATAGGAAGGGAGACGGGCAGATAGACCGATCAATGGACAGACGGACAGACAGACAGACAGACAGACAGGCAGAGAGGGTAGGTACGTAGATACCAAGATAGGCAGGTAGATAGGTAGCTAGAAATAGATAACATTGACCATCCTCCAAAAAGCACAACCCTATATAGGCTACTTCCCCAAACTTTTTGCGGAAGCGGTGGTCAGCTCACGAGAGCATGACGTTGAGGGCTCGAGGCCTTAGGCCGTTCAGCTCTGAATGCTATTTTCCTTCAACTCCTGAGCTCAGCCGTGAACAGAGAAGCACGGAGTGCTCCAGCGCTTGCTGCGGTCCCTTTCCACGAGAAATCACGGCCGTAGCCTCGTAGCCGGTGTCAGACGAGCTATTGGCCGAGGCGGCCCAGACTCTGCAAGATCTCTGAAGGACCTTGGTCGAAGTGGTGCCAGTGTCTCGTGCGTATCCAGTCATGGTCTGGCTATGTCTGGCTGGAGCCTCTAAGACGCTCTCAGGTTTGGGGATTTTGCTGTTCGAGCTCCTCAAACTCATCAGCCATGCCGGCCATGCCCAGGACCTCCAGTTGATCGCCTTCTTCCAAGCTTAAGGAAGCACAGGTGTCACTCCGAGCGATGCGACGTCCTTCGAAGACAAACTGAACCATCCATGGCGGCAGCTCCTTCCGAGCGCACCAGACATCCATCAAACCGTCCAAGGTCCGGTGCTCTGCCAATCTGAACCACAGCTCCGAGCCCTCGTAGAGGGCGCAGATTGTTAAGTCGCTGTTGTGATTGATCACTTCGAGGCCTGGTTTCGCCTTTCGGATAGCTTCCCAGCCACGCGCAGAATCCACCCGGGATGCAAGACCGAGGCACCCCATTGCAGTCAAGGTCTTGAGATAAGGACACCTTCGGACGGCGTCCACCATGGCAGCTGCGGTTATCTTCCTGCATCCGGAAACATCGATTGACTCCAGATTCGGGCACCTCCGACTCACCGCACCAAGGGCTGCATCAGATGCTTCTCTCAGAACAGCCGATCTCTGCGCCGTCAAGCTCTCAGCATGTCGGCTTGCCAGCTCGTGTTGAGCTCCGTCAGCTTGATGGCTAAGGTGACATCTACCCAACCCAGTGCAAAAATCTCGGCCACCGATGGCCCCATTGTTGTTAAAACGGCAGACTAGCTGGCTTGATCGCTGAGACACGCACACACACAAGGAGGCAGGGGCTCAAAACTCCAGAGCACGTTTGAAACCCAGGTGCACATCCTGCTTCAACAAATTGTAGCCTCGGCTTTCAAGCCGAGGGCACCTTCGGACCATGCTCTCAGGAAGTGCTTCACCTCATGGAGCCATGCCTCCTGGCTGCATCGCCGTGGAGTTTCAATCTTGTGACATGGATGCTACGTTTTGCTACGAGTACTGAGTACAGTCCTCTGCCCGGCCGATGCCAAGTTGGTTCATCAGGCAGCGACCTCGCACTTCACAAGTCGCAGAGTGCGGGGTCTGAGCTTTCCTGACTCCCGCACGCCTCCAATCTTGCCGAAGTTGTCCACACCGAAGCGCTGGATGCTCTGTGCATATGCCTCCTGGCAAGCTTTGCCCATGCTCCGAATCTGCAGGTTGGAATTTGACAACCTCAAATTCGCTGCGGGCATGGACCCCGGAGTACCCACACAGCGTTCTACCGGCATGGCCTCATCTCTTGGAACGAGGCTAGCTTCATTTCACTCTTCCAGACACGTCGCCGTAAGGTTCGCGTTCCTGTCCTTCTCAACCACGGGAATTCTGGACCGCTCCTGGGCAGACACAAGTAGCTTCAAGCCTCAGGCCTGTGGTCGCGAGGAGCCCAGCTAGCTCAGATTGAGTCTACTTGCATCTAGGCGTTGATACGGACAGGCTCGAAGGCCGAGACTAAAACAAACCACAGACTGTGTGCCAAACAAGACTGATCAGTGCTTTGGCCCGCAACTCTGCACCAAATGAACTGGCACAAGATGCAAAATAGCGATAGTGCATAAAGCTGCTGAGTCATCCACCTTGGAAATAGGCAGCATGGGAAGTGGACCCTCCTGGATTGAACGGATGAGTCTGCCTGTGATTTGGGCTCAGTGCTATTTACCAACTTCGACACGCAGTTGCTCTCCTCCCCGAAAACCTCCGCCACAAGAGACCTGGCTGCAGCGACCCATTTCGGGAGGCTGCGGGTCTGGAAGGTGGAGACCTGCGTAGAGCACACCCCTGCACTGATTTAGGGCTCAAGGTCTTTTAGGTTGCGGGAGCTGCCCTGAACCCAAAACGAGGAAAGAAGGTGTTTCACATAGACGAGGGACAGAAAGAGAGAGAGAGAGAGAGAGAGAGACAGAGAGAGACAGAGAGAGACAGAGAGAGACAGAGAGAGACAGAGAGAGACAGAGAGAGCGAGAGAGCGAATACCTTATAAAGGCATGTAGCATTTTCAACCATCCAGTATCTCACCGTTAGGACATGCAGCTTGGAGGCTCGATGAGGTTTGAGAGCTTTCTTTGCAGGGAGGGTCTTGCAAAGCGCGGTCTTCGAAAGCCGGCTCAATCCAAGCCTCAAAGCCCCATAAACTCCTAAACCCGAAACAGCCTGAACGCCTAGACCCTAAACTCCTGAATCCTAAACCCGAAACCCTAGGCACCAACATGTGCACCCTGACCGACAATGCTGCTTATCCTCGAACCGGCCCGGGTGTGAAATTATGAGACGATACCTGGATCCCCAACCTGCAGAACAGTAGGTTATGACATGCTCTCACCCCGTAATTACAGGGAATAACGGTACAACATCATGGTATAACCATCAACAGAGTAGGTTGTGGAGCCGCAGCTAGAGCAATATAAGAGCCTCTCGACCCGAAAATGTGCACACCCTCAACCCTAAACGCAAAAGCCTTAAACAAATCAACCTTGAACCCTAAAAATCCAGGCGCGGGCCGGATGCCGCTCGTTCGAGTGGGGCGGGAAGCTGTGACTTTTCCGAAGAGCAGAGGGATTGAGGCTACTAGGAACGTACCTTTGTTTGTTCACCTTATATTGGAAAATGTCATAAAATAGTTTGTCACAAAAGAATAGCATTAGTGTAGTTACCCAAAAGCTACATTGTAGGGTCCAGCCATTGCTACTAGGGCATTAGCGCGCTCCTCACAGGATCTATTCTGGAGGTGTTAGCATTCAGGCTTAACGTTTAGGGTTTCGGGCTTTCCAGGGTCAAGAAAGGGTTATTCAAGGTGACAGCAGGGTTTTCGAGGGACGGCATAGGCTTTCACACCGGTTTGTGCCTGCACTCCCATAGCTCTCAAAGCCCGGGCAGTGTGCCGTGGCCCGAGATGTGGCACCGGCACGTCGAAGGATCGCCCAACGGCAGCGCCTGACGCGAGCCTTAGAAGCTCAGGCTTTAACTTCGCCATGCCACTGCATGTGAAATTTTCTGTGTTGGTGAGGGGAATCGCAGGGCTTGCCCTCCTTCCAAAAGACCAGGTCGGCTGGGCAGTGGAAAGACGTCTGTATCTCATGCATCTCACTCTTTTCGAAACGATATCTATCCAGCGGCCAACCCGTCAACCCAAAGCAGAAGGCAGGGCCAATCTGCCTAAAGCTGAACAATCGACAAGAGGACACGCAGGATCCCGAAGCACTCAACCTAGACAAAGACCAAGACTGCGAGGCATGGCATCAACATTGCCCGCTGTGTCGCTGCGACGATTGGATAGCTCTGTGCACCTGATGACAGAATATCCCTGCCAAGCCTCGCCAGCGATGCGGCCAGCGGCTGCAGGGTTTGCTGATCGAAATCTCCTGGTGAAGAAGCGAGCAAACGATCTTCCGATTGCAGCTCACGAGTGGATGTGAGAATCTCGACTGCAAATGTCGCACCATCATTGGGCCCGAACCAACACCTGTCCTCCATTTTCCATATGTTACAAGTTTGCTGCACGAACTCAAGCTTCTTCTACATAGCACACATCCAAGCCGAAAGCATGCTTCTTCCAGCCGTCGGATCAGTGCCCCGTGCTCGGCCATCAGCCCAGCCCAAAGAAGAGAAGCGAAACATCCTCGCCCTTTTCGACGCCTCGCGTCTGCAACCGGCCGAGGATGCCAATGCAGTCGATCAGCTGTGGCCTGCAGAAGTGCGGTGAGGTCGACAACTGCATCCACGTGAAATGATGGGTTCTTGGTTCGATTCATACTAATTCATTACGATCACTACTTATGAACGGTACATCCTAAGCAGGAACCACGAATATAATATCACTGGCAGCCATGCTGGTCTATCCTGCAAGGAAAAGCTGAAGAGGAAGGGAAACAAATCGGGGGAACCCAGCCCAAGCCTCCCTGTCTCTTCGAGGTCGCTGAGGCGCCCTTCCGCCCGTCCTGCCAGCTCCTCCACCTGCATGCGTTTGCCTGGGCTGGGCTGCAGCCATCATGTTCGATCACGATGCGTCTTAGGAAGCTGGAAGGCTGTTTCAACTCACTCATACAATGGGAAATCAGCCGCACATGGAACAGGCCGGCTAGAATACCTGGTCATCACCAGGATTCTGATTCTAATTCTGACTCGGCCTTTGGTCATCTTGAGCAATGAAGATTGCTGACGCGGGAGATGCTGATGAGGAGGATGAGGATGACGATGCTGATGAGGATGCTGACCCTTCTCATTATTATGAGTGCCAGTGATTCTCAACTAAAGGTGGTGAGGAGGTGGACGAGGAGGAGGAGGAGGCGCAGGAGGAGGAGCAGGAGGAGGTGATGACGATCAAGATGACGCGATGAGGGCAGTGGCGGAGATGACAATCACTGACTTGACAGCCTCTGATGCTAGTACTGGTACGGGCACTGATGATGACGAGCAATCCAATGATGCCCAATCTATAGCAGCTGTAATTAGAGCACTAGCAACGAAAATAGTCATGGTCAGGATACAAGGTAGAAGGACAACGATTAGTTGTATTGCCACAGGTAAGAAAATGAAGGAAAACCGTAATTTATGACGATGACAGTGGAGCTCAGAAAGTAGGTGCCCGGGTACAGGCAACGTCCGGGGTCGCTGCCGAAGGTGTCCAGGCACCAAAGGATCTTGGTCAGCGCTTCTGCCTTGTCGAACTTCTAGAGCTGGCGCTCGCTTCGAACCCTCGCTTTTGCTACTCTGATAACTATCGGTTTGCCTGAAACTTGCCGAGGTCGGATGTTACATCGAAGATGGCTGCCAGACACCTGCAAAGCAGCTGAGATTTCTCAGGTGTTGTTTGCACACATGACGTTGAACGTTCTGTTCTGATTCCAAGAGTCGACACAGGCAGACTGTTTCTTGCATGTTCGTGCTCGGACGCCAAGACCAAGCGAATTGGGTCTAGCCTTTCCGATCTGAAGCGCAGAGTTGACAAGGCCTGGGCCACCTGTGGCCAGGGACCGAAACGAAGACTTTGCACAACGCATCCTCGCGACTCTGGATACTACCTATGTCAGGTATACATGCCGCAAGCGATACGCCACTTGTCACACCCAAAAAATTCGAACGCTGCAGCTTCCCACCAAAAGCATTGCTGGCGAGCACTACATCGGAGCTCTCGCTGTCGAAGGTCCACACCTCACCCACCGCGCTGCTGTCATAGGTGTGGAGGGACTGCGACAGGGCTTTGGTCAAGGCCTGCCATGCGACTGCAGAACGGATCCTTTGGCAGGCTTCGGGGCTCAGACCGCAATCGTGCCTCTAAAGCGGTCAGCGGCCCGACACCGCAGCCTGCAAGGTCGCTGAGGAGTTGGGGCAAGACTGAGGGCGGCAACTCCTGCGCAGGTTTTCAATATTGTCTGCTCATCATGCACATCATTCACATGCGAAACCTTCGGTCAAACAGCTCCTCGATCCTGTTGGTGATGCTCACGCCTTGTCTTTGTTTGCGCATGTACGGCTCTTTTGCACAAGAGTCAAGAAGTCGTAATGTAGCTCAGAGCCAGGGCGCTCAATGCGCCCACCAAGGCCGGCTGCCGCAGGCCTTTACACATTCGGCTGGATCGAAAACAACGATTCGCGATAACGATGCTCATGCTACTCCACTCTCCAACCCCTAAAACGCCGGAAAAGCCCAACGGTCAAAAAGCAGTGGACAAACCGTAGACAGCGAGTTTCCCGGACACAGCTATCATCATGATATGGAACCACCTATGAATGATGTGAATTACTGGTGGCATCATCAACATCTCACAAAGTCTGCCAAGGCGCCCAGCTTTCGAACTGCTGCCAGCGCTCGGGGGAGAAGCCGAGCTCGAAAGGCACGGCGCCGGGCCAACCCGTGCAGGTCCTCGTTGTGCATTCGTTTAAGGTTGTCTAAGTCTGGACGTGGGGGATTTACAAAACGCAAGTTTTTCGGTGCCTCCCAACCCACTGTCTTGCTAAATTCTGGCAGCTGTTGCGACATTCAGTCGCAACGAAAATTTGGCTGGCACGTGCCGGCGCGAAAATTCCAGGACACCGCATACAAGCCCAAACAAAAGTCACAACAGGCAGCCGTGTGCACAACCGCAAAGGTTCGCTGTGTTCACCGTGCAGATTTGTCAAAACGTGCAATAGCTAAACGTGCCTGACGAATCAACTTCTTACACCAGAGTCGCCATGCTGTCAGTTGCTCTGCAAATCTTGCAAGGTCGAGACAACCCGTGTGCACCGTGCGAAGGCATTCCAGATAAGACAAGGAACCTTCACGAAGGGCGGACAGGCGGGACCTCAAGGGGCCTCGCCCTGACATAAACGGCCCCCAACCCCCGCTCAACCCACTTCGCCCCAGCCTCAACTTTTCTCAAAGCCTACCTATACTACCCTTTCCAAGCCCTCTTCCCCTAACCTTATCCATTATCCTACTCCATAACCTCAACACCAAGCCTCAGCCCTCAGCCTCAACCTCAGCCAATCCCCAAAACAAAATACATAACTTATGTCATGTCATATCCTACCCAATCAAACAGGGCGGCGTTCTTTGTAAAGTTTCTTAGCATCCTCAGCCATGGTGTCAGACGCATCATTGATAATGGCTAGGCCT